CTCTTCGGTGTCATACTCTAGCTCTGGTGCTTCTAGTGGTTTTGTCAGCTCAAGTTCTGCGGTGTCATACTCTAGCTCTGGTGCTTCTAGTGGTTCTGTCAGCTCGAGCTCTTCGGTGTCGTACTCTAGCTCAGGTGCTTCTAGTGGTTTTGTCAGCTCAAGCTCGTCGGTGTCATACTCTAGCTCAGTTGCTTCTAGTGATTTTGTCAGCTCAAGCTCTTCGTTGTCATACTCTAGCTCTGGTGCTTCCGGTGATTTTGTCAGCTCAAGCTCTACTAGATCCCACACTAGTGTCTTTACAACTACTTGGACGGACTCAGCTGGTCATACCTCTACCGGTATTGTGAGTGAATATCCAACTACTGGTACAAATGGCGTTGCTGGTACAGGTACTACTACCATTCCAATTACTTCAGGTGCTGAAGATACTTCATCAATATCAAAACCTGTTGTCATTCCTACGGAGTCTTCCTCTTTCCACACTAGTGTCTTTACAACTACTTGGACGGACTCAGCTGGTCATACCTCTACCGGTATTGTTAGTGAATATCCAACTACTGGTACAAATGGCGTTGCTGGTACAGGTACTACTACTATTCCAATTATTGGTAGTAGTTCAAAATCTAGTTCTGGTGCTTCTAGTGAATTTGTCAGCTCAAGTTCTTCGGTGTCATACTCTAGCTCTGGTGCTTCCAGTGATTTTGTCGGCTCAAGTTCTACTGGATCCCACACTAGTGTCTTTACAACTACTTGGACGGATTCAGCTGGTCATACCTCTACCGGTATTGTGAGTGAATATCCAACTACTGGTACAGGTACTACTACTATTCCAATTATTGGTAGTAGTTCAAAATCTAGCTCTGGTGCTTCTAATGATTTTGTCAGCTCAAGCTCTTCGGTGTCATACTCTAGCTCTGGTGCTTCTAGTGATTTTGTCAGCTCAAGCTCTTCGGTGTCATACTCTAGCTCTGGTGCTTCCAGTGGTTTTGTCAGCTCGAGCTCTTCGGTGTCATACTCTAGCTCAGGTGCTTCTAATGATTTTGTCAGCTCAAGCTCTTCGGTGTCATACTCTAGCTCTGGTGCTTCTAGTGGTTTTGTCAGCTCAAGCTCTTCGGTGTCATACTCTAGCTCAGTTGCTTCTAGTGATTTTGTCAGCTCAAGTTCTTCGGTGTCATACTCTAGCTCAGATGCTTCCAGTGATTTTGTCGGCTCAAGCTCTACTAGATCCCACACTAGTGTCTTTACAACTACTTGGACGGATTCAGCTGGTCATACCTCTACCGGTATTGTGAGTGAATATCCAACTACTGGTACAGATGGCGTTGCTGGTACAGGTACTACTACCATTCCAATTACTTCAGGTGCTGAAGATACTTCATCAATATCAAAACCTGTTGTCATTCCTACGGAGTCTTCCTTATTCCACACTAGTGTCTTTACAACTACTTGGACGGACTCAGCTGGTCATACCTCTACCGGTATTGTGAGTGAATATCCAACTACTGGTACAAATGGCGTTGTTGGTACAGGTACCACTACTATTCCAATTATTGGTAGTAGTTCAAAATCTAGTTCTGGTGCTTCTAGTGATTTAGTCAGCTCAAGCTCTGCGGTGTCATACTCTAGCTCTGGTGCTTCCAGTGATTTAGTCAGCGCAAGCTCTTCGGTGTCATACTCTAGCTCAGGTGCTTCCAGTGATTTTGTCAGCTCAAGCTCTACTAGATCCCACACTAGTGTCTTTACAACTACTTGGACGGACTCAGCTGGTCATACCTCTACCGGTATTGTGAGTGAATATCCAACTACTGGTACAAATGGCGTTGTTGGTACAGGTACCACTACTATTCCAATTATTGGTAGTAGTTCAAAATCTAGTTCTGGTGCTTCTAGTGATTTAGTCAGCTCAAGTTCTACTGGATCCCACACTAGTGTCTTTACAACTACTTGGACGGATTCAGCTGGTCATACCTCTACCGGTATTGTTAGTGAATATCCAACTACTGGTACAAATGGCGTTGCTGGTACAGGTACCACTACTATCCCAATTCTCGGACATTCATCTAGTGGTTCATTGTCATTGAGTTCAGGATCTTCCATGTCATCTTCAAATCCATCTTCAAGTGGTTCTCTTAGTGCACCATATATGACTGGTTTCTTTCAGGATGGCCAACCACATTGGAATATTGTTGTTCCTGGTACTTTGGGTCCATGGTCATCTGTTGAAGTACGCGCTTCCGACGATGGCACTCATTATGACTTAACTGACTTACAAATGTTAGTTGACGGTGTTGTCGTGTCAGGTCCATCTAATTTAACAAAGAACTCTTATGATGCATCTTATGAAGACGCAATTGAAAGCTCATCGAATTTGGTGTTCTCTGTTTTTGCTCAAGCCATTGCTGGTAAAAATTATACAAACAGTGTTGAAGTTGCTATTAATACAATTGATGGTAAAAAATTAGTCAAGAGAGCTGTTTTGAAGTTCTTGTTATCAGCCACTATTACTACTGATGCTTCATCTATTGGGTCAAGCTCTAGTGCTCCATCAAGTGGTGGTTCAAGTTCTGCTTCTGAAACCTTATCATCTGGGTCAGCATCTGGTGTTGCATCAGATTCGGTATCAATGACTAGCGGTGGCTCTTTCAGCTTAACTACAACTGTTGATCAGCAATCAACTACTGTGATTACTGTTACTTCATGTTCAGATGACAAATGCTCTAGTGTTCCTATTACCACTGGTGTCACTGTTGTTACTTCCACGGTTGAAGGTATTGTTACCACATACACTACATATTGCCCATTGACGTCTGTTGATCATGGTTCATCGGCTGTTCATATTGAAGCTCCATCTACAACTGTTGTTACTATCACATCTTGTTCTAGTCATGTTTGCTCTAAGGTAACTGCCACTACTGGTGTTACTGTTGTTACTGAAACAAATGAAGGTACAGAAACTATCTATACTACATACTGTCCATTAAGCTCTATTGCATCTCCAGAAAATTCAAGTCCGGGTCAATCCGGTAATGTACCAAATGCTTCAAATTCTAAGGGATCAACTGCTGCAAACGTTTCAAGTACTGGTGGTGCTTCTAATGTTCCACAAGGTGGTAAACCTGAATCAGGTGCTGGTTCTTCACCTTCAAAATCTGGTCCAAATGGTAATAATGCACAATCTGGTACTGCCATATCTCATGGAAACACTGGTACTTCCTCCAATGCTGCTGCTGCTACTGCCGCTGCTGCTGGATCAAACACTGGGGCTACTGCTGTTGGTGGTGGCTCGGCTTCAAATGCTGGTACTGGTGCTCAAGGCTCATATAACTCAAATACTGCTATTGATTCCACTTCTACACAAACAGTTCTTGCCACTGCTACTGTATCATATGACCAGGTATCTGCTGGAAAAATTATCTCTTCTTCGGAGGGTGCTGCTGTAAGGGGTTCTGCCGAAGGAGTCAGGACATTGATTTCTTCCTCTACTACTTTGATCCCAGATATATCAAATACGTATGAGGACCATGCTGTCAAAAAGAGTGCTATGGCTTCTAGCGCTATTGGTTCCTTTGCTCTTTGTATTTTATTGTTCATTTGATTTTTTTTTTGATTTTATTTCCTACTTGATATTCTTTTTTATTTGTGTTTATTGGTTTGAGAAATTTTGTTACTCCCTTATATTTCTTTTTTATAATTTTTTAAAGTTTGTTGATTGAGGTGTTCAGACCTCCTTCCGTTGTTTTTGTATACTATGGTTTATTATTAATTTATATTGTTATGTTATTATAATAAATATGTTGTAGCTGTTATATTATTAATATTAATTAATAAACTAGTCGACGAAATATTTATATATTATGAATCCCTAGAACCAAGAGCTAATTAACAATTAATTACCTTTAGGACTTCGACATCAAGAAAAGTATTAGGATCAATATCTTGGTGATTTCCGCCGGCACAAATTTTAGTAGTACAATTGTTCCAATTATAACAATGGCCAGCTTTTTAATTAGTTCATGATCCTTACTTGTTTTTATTCTGATAATTTATCGGCCCTTTTATTATAAATCAGTCAATATATAGTCGACTGAGTCCCCAGTGATAATTTTAAAAATATTTATAAATATGTACATTATAATTTTATGCTGCATTAATTTAATTATATTATTAATATATTAATTAATACTGCACATGATGTTAGTACGTCAGCTATTGAATAATATCGATCCACTAGATAATTATTATTATATTGCAATATTTATAATATGCGCAGATTAAAATTATTTATAAGAAAAAAAAAAAGTGATTCATCATTAAAATATACGTCGTCAATTAATATAATATGTGTAATTATTATAATATAAATATATTAATTATATTATTATAATATTATAGTCTGAATATCACAAATATATCTGCATGATGAATATATCTTTACACTAGTGCAAAGCTGACGACGTTTATAACTAGAATTATGCCAGCCGGCGCACTAGCCCGACGTAGCTCGCTGAATTTTTAATATTATACGTCCAGCAGTCCGACTAGTACTGTGATCATATTGCTACATAGTAAAAATATGAGCTAATTATATTGACTATACTAAATTCAGACTCTTAGTTTAAGATCAAGATGTGTAGATCATTAAGAAATAATAATATTTAGTGAGTTAATGACTAAGTAATTATGTAAGTTTAACTGAAAAATCATCAATTTTTTTACGTCAAAAAAATTATCGAAGACAAACTTTTGAGCATTTGTTCAACTAAAAAGCTAGAATATTCATTCCAATATGATTGGCGTAAAGGTGTAAGTTGTTGATGCTAGTACCTGAGAGGACTGATGACTAACACTGCTTTCCAAGAGTCTCAAGACACGACCTATACAATTCAGAATCTGATATAGAACCTTCCGATGATGGTCAAACACCAATACTACCGAACTTGGAGTTCGAGATTATAGACAAGACACAAGACGATGATCAAGTGATGGGTGATGCCCAAGAAGAAGAAGAGGATTTTGATTTCCCTCTTTTCTCAATGGGAACCACCACCACCACGGCCGCAAAACCAGAGGAGCAAAAAGATCAAGAAGAAGAATCACTTCGTGGAAGAACACAAGAGAAACAAAACACAATGAGAATTACACTTAGATCTCCTTCACCAGAAGTAATAATACAAGAGAGACCCAGATCTTATTACTTTGCAGAAAATGATGAAGAGGTAAAGGCAAAATTTGCTCAAGCAGCTATAACAGGTGATGATGTGATAAGACAAAGTTTAATACCGTATGGACCAATAGGGAAAGTTATCAATTTGAATGAGCATAATGCTAAGATAGAGAAAGAGTTGGAAAAAATCAACAAGAAGGCAAGACCAGGGAAAAAGAAGAGACTGGCTTCTATAAAGGCAACAGAGCACAATAAAGAGAGATTGAAAGTTCAAAAACAAAATGAACAAAAAGCCAAAGCGAAATTAATGAAAAAAATACATCATAAACGTGGTGGTAAGAAACATAAAAAGAAAGAAGGAGCCTCTGATGCCCAAGGCAAAACAAAATATAGAACTGAATGAATGAATTAATTAATTATTTTTCCATAATGTGTTTATTGGCAGATCCCCGTGTCAATACTGAAATGTGCGAAATAACTTTTGGCATTAACTCTTTAAGCTTTAAAAAGAGATAATTGATGAACTAGCTCATTGATATTTAGTACTATTTCCCTCAGGAATTATATGATTTTATTCTCTTATTTATGTGTAATCTATAGCCCAATCTTAACAAACATCCAAACACCACTTCTCGAAATCTCGAAATTCTCGAGAAAACATAAACAAGTTGGAAAGATTTGGAAACACGACGTCAAGAACTGTTCGAATTCACCAAATCACTTTGGGCCTGAAGATTGATTCGATTCAATATGGATTTCATAGACTATGACACTTTCCAAAGTACTGACAACTCCTCAGATAACCTCAAAAATCCATTACCAGAACCAGCTCCCCCTTTGATCTTGCCCATAAACCCAGATTTCACAAATAGATTCAAAAACTTATCCTTGTTGAAGAAAAACTTGCCATTGAATCAAGATAATAACAATATAACCACCTCTGATAACGATGTCAACATTACAAGCAAAACTGCAGAGAAATATGCTAAACTATCAATTGATCTATTGAACACGAATCATAATCAATCTCATGATAAAATGATTTCAGATTTACCAACCACAACAACAGCATCAAATACAACTGACCAAACCAGCAAACTCAACGACCATCTCCATTCTAATGCATCAAAATCAAATAGCTCAGTATTGAGTACTAGACTTTCCAACATTTTGAACTCTTATGATAATAATGATCCAAATCTAAGAGATGCATTGTTGATCTTGCAAAAAAAATCAAATCTTGAAGTGGAACAATTGATAAGGTCGGACTTGCTAGGTTCTATTGCAAGAAGAAACTTCAGAAGTGAAATTGAAGGTGATTTGTTAAAACAACATACTAATGTCTTGAGAGAATTCCAACCAGTTGTGACAAAGATTGAAAACATTGGGACCAAGATCAATAAATTGAATGATATAAACAACAATTTACAGAGTTTTGATAAACTAGATCCGGAACTAGTATCAAAGATTGAAGAATTATCAAATTCCAAACATTTATTAATCTTGAAGAAATCATTATTAACAAATTTCAAAAAAAAATTCACATTAAATCAATATGAAGAACATATTTTAACAAATGAAGATATTTCAATTGAATTTTTCAAAGTTTTAAACAAATGTAAAAAAATTCATTCAAATTGTTCAATATTGTTAACTTTGGGTAATCAAAATTTAGGTTTGAAAATTATGGAAAAGATGAATAAATTTTTAGATTTATCCTATCAAAGAATTTCATTTTTTCTAGAGAATCAATTATTGAAAAATTTAAATGAAGAAAACTTATCAAATAATAAAAATATTAAATTGTTGAAAATTTCAATTTTCCATTTATCTGATAATGTTAGATATTTTGATGAATTATTATCAAAATTAATTCAACAGCGTTCCAAAACAATTGTTGATGAATTCTTATACCAATTGAATAATGCTGACTCAAATGATGTTTCAAGACCTATTGTACTATCAGCTCATGATCCATTAAGATACATTGGTGATATATTGGCATATGTTCATTCAGTTATCGTTAATGAAGTTGAATTTATACAAAATTTATTTCAAAAAATAGATTCGTCAGAAAATGATGAATTGTACAATCAAAGATCAGAACTAGAGGAAGCTTTGATTCATGTGGAGAATTTCCAAAATGTTGATGATATTGTAAATGACACTTTGGTTAAAATTATTAACGGATTAAGTCGACCACTCAAGATTAGAATTGAACAAGTTATTAGAAGTGAAAAACATTTGGATGTCATACCAAAGATTTCAAATTTGTTGGACCTTTTCAAAATGATGTATGAAAAAATTCTACCTAAAAATTTAAAAGATTGTTCAGTTATTGAAAGTTTGGATAGTTTAAAATCATTATGCATTGAAAAAATCTTTGGGCTGTTGAAAGAGAAATTAACTTTGATTAAAAGTGACAATATTGGATTGGATGATTTATTATTACCACCTGACTGGGTTAGAGATTATTTCACAGACGCATTAGTTATATTTCAAGATAGTAACATCGGGTCAGATTCAAATGTTTTCGGTCTTTCAGATGAGTTATTTGAGAATTTATCAAATTTGATTGTTAATAAACCAATTGAAATCTTGTCAGAACATTCAAAATCTCTTGAGGATGGAAGAAATATTAAAATTTTCAAATTGAATGCACTTGATCTAATCCAAACTAAAATCATAACAACAACTCAATTGTCAAAGAAATGTGATGAAGTTAATGAGTTAATAACAAGTTTGAAACAAGAATTGATTGAGCACCAATATGAATTGTTATTAAAAGATTCAGATCTTTCAATTCATCAACAACTAATAACCTTGATTTTCCCAATTGATCAAATTGAAACAGATGATGATTATGCAATGTATGCTTCATTAATTGAAAACAAACTATTTGGTAAAGAAAAATTACAAGAAATTGAAACAAAATTACATGAATTTTTACCAGTTGCATTAATTGAAACTCAACAATCACTTTTCAAAATTTCATCACCAACAATTGCAAATGATATAATTACTGAAAGTTCATTGAAATTTTTGAATTTGTACAATGTCTTTTATAAGATCTTGCAAGAAATATACCCAGAAGACCATTTATTAGAATGGACTACATATGATGTTACTACTTTACTTGGTGTTGAAGAAGTTTATAAAGATTCATTATAAATTAACATTTTCATGATTAGGGACTTTACCACGACCATACCCATCTTTTGCGTAGTAATCCATAGGATAATAGTTTTCATTCCACATCTTATCATTCTCCATCATAACCATGGCTTCATATGGCGTCAATAATGGCTTGTTGAAAGCATACCCCCAATCAATTGATAGTCTTGGACATGCAACCTGGATAAAAGCATCGATATCATCAAACATGGATAATTTTTGAGGGAAAATTTCAGATAAAATGATCTTGACAACTGTTTTACCATTTTTGGTTAATTCAGTTTCAAGATTTGATAAAGTGTTAACGTTACCTTGTCTTCCTAATGCACCAAGAATCAATCCAATTTTTTGAGCTTTCGAAGCTGTTGTAATAGCATCTTCACGAACTTTGATCATTTGTTTTTGATCATAATATTCTCTTGTGAACTTTCTAGAGTATGGATCATATCTATATGCAGGAATTTCTGGATTATGAATCATTGCACTTTCTAAATGGAATCTACCATCACCAACGTAAATCATAGCATCTATCTCTTCTTTATCTAATCTTTGAGAAGTACAACCCAAAACTTCACCTTTTGAAAGTGGCATTATTTGTGGTGGAATGGTATAGATTGGTTTTCCTTCATCATTCGCTAATTTATCTTTAATGGCATGTATAGTTGGATTAAATTGAATAGTACCAAATGTGGCAATCTTGGAATTCTTGGAGAAGTTTCTCTGTATTGTCTTGATCAAATGTGTTTCATCAATGTTTATAGTGACAAAAATATATAAAACTTTGATTAATGTGATATCAATGGGCACTAAACATGAATGAGCATAATGAACAATAAAATCACAGTCTAAGGATCTTGCAGTATAATCATCAATACAACAAGCACCATAAGAGACATCACCCATAACTATTGTCTCCACTTCGCAAAACTGTTCCAAGATATCTGCAATGATTAATGAATAAATCAATAAACCTTCAGGCATTTGTAATGCAACTCGTTTAGCATTTTGCTTTTTGATATTCCAAACCGTCTTGTGGATTTCAAAATTGTAATTAGAAGGTAGTAACTTGATAGCCTCATTCAGATCTTTATCTTCCAGTATCTCCTTGGGTATTTGTGTCATGACTCTACCCACATGGTTTTTCACTCTGGATGCTATTAAATTGTCAGTACATTTATCCATCAGTCATAAAACTTCACCAACACTCACTCTTGACTAGCGAGCCATCGGCACTCGTAGCAGCATTTTCCCTTTTACCAACGAATCTCTTTTTAGGAACTCTCTTGACCTCAACTTCACTCATATTTTCAGCTGTTCCAAAACTTTTGTAATATAAGTTCATCATCTCATCAAAAGTTCAAATTTTTTTTTCTTGATCAAATTCGCGAAAGGAAAAAATCAGATTTGGTAAGAGCACACTTTCGCGAAAATTCGAAAATTTTTATGCCGTCAAATTTGGCAGAGGACATTTTTCAACACAAGCTATTACTAGTTTTGGCTGCGGTGGTCTGTAATGTCTGATAATGGAGACAGTCAAGTATGTGAGGATCTGGAATATGGTAGACCAAGATTCATCCTGGACCATACGCTTTTCCGGGGTGAAACTATGAAGAATATTTTGGAGTCAAGAGTAACCTGGTTTGACGATCCGGCTGAAACTGGGACTTTTTATATGAGACATTATGATATCTTCTTCAGCGGCTTGATAAAGAGTTTAAAATCATTAACTGATCTTACAAGAGGTGTTAGTCCAGGAGCTCAAGCTATAATCAATAAGATGTTTGATCTCAATTTGGCACATAAAGAACAATCCTATAATGTTATCCTCAAAAAAAAATCTGGGAATAGAATGATGAGTTCTCTTTATACAAGGGAGGGAAGATTATTGAATGATACAAGGTCCATGTTAGAAGAAGCTACTAGTTACTTCAGAGATTCATACACAAACGATGTTGACGAAGAGAATGATTTAGAGTTCACGGCCACTGACATGCAAAATTTAGTTTCCCCATCAAACAAATTAACTGATGAAGATGCAAGAGGTTTAGACCAAGACTTTACAGAAGATGATTTTGCTGCGGTGGTGAAAAGGCTAAGTATGAAGAATACTACACCTGGACTCGACGACATAAATTACCAATTCATCCATGAACACTGGGAAAAAATTCGTGAAGTTATAATAAAAATTTCAAATTGTTTAAAAAACGTTGAAGGTCCAACTCCAACCTCATTACGTACTGTCTTGATTAACCTTGTGGAAAAAAATAAAAATTCAAAAACAAAAACAATGAAAGATTACCGTCCAATATTACTTGGAATGTCAGTTGCTAAGTTGATCTCATCAGTTTTCAAAGAAAGGTTAGATTTAGTTTTCAAAAAGATTGTACCTTCTTGGATTTCTGCACCTACACCCACTTTGATCAAAGACCGAAAAGTAATTGACAGGTTTGTGGAAAATATTCAAACTTTGGAAGATGGAAAAGTCACTGAAACATGGGGTATAACCATTCATTTCGAATCTGCATTTGAGACAATGAGTTTTAAGTTTTTGGAGCTAATGCTCGAGCTATACAATTTCAACGCCGATTCTATCAGACTTATCAAGGCCCTGATTACTGATCAAATTGCTATTGTTAGAATCAATAACATTGAAGGTGATCCCGTATTGAAGGAGAAAGGTTTACTCTTTGGTAACCCACTTTCACTGCCTTTATTTTTAATGGCTATGAAAATGCTGCAAACTTTTTCAAACAATGGCCTGAAAGATGGAGTGGCAAATAGGCTTCCGCCTCCTATTCTTTTTGATCAAACCTTTTTCATTCCAATGGATGAAAAACTTGAAGACAAGATTTTAATAGAGCGTCTCGCAAAGTTTTGTGTGCTTTCAGGAATGGACCTCAATATAAAAGGTACTATTCACCCGGATATTGAAATCTTGAAAAGCGGTACCAGAACTATTTACATAACGCACCCAGAAGAAGAATCTTGGTACGAGAAGGCGTATTATTTCAATGGTCCAGTTGATCTTAAACTTGAAGAATGAAAAAATGTCCGTTGAAATTCCGGTTTGTAGTGCGTGTAACGATTTTATGAAAAAAAAAATTAACGGCACTGAAATTTTGACAGTCTTTTTAAAACCATTACAAACTCATAATTTGATTACTTTAAAGAACTATACCATGTTGACTCCATATTTCACTTGCACTCAAGATGAAGAGTTTGTTTTTATCAACATCAAGGTCTCACATATAAGATTTGATGCCCCAGGTGTTCAAATCATTGCCGAGAATGAACTGTTTATTTTTTCATTAAGTCCTTATTATCTTAGATTAAGATTTGACAAACCTTTGATAGATGATGAAGAGAGATCTAATGCTCATTATGAATCAAAAGAAGAAGTTATCAAAGTCAAGATGCCGAAGTTGAATAAAGGTGAAGTTTTCCAAGATTTAGATTTACCACAAAAATTATTAGCAAGAGCTGGTGAAAATGTTGATTCACAAGAGCAAGTTATGGATACTAAAGAATTATTACAAGAGATTGGTGTTCAAGCTGATGATAATTTGATTAAAGAAGTTGATGCGGACTTGAAAAAAGATGAAACTAAAGAAGTTAAAAGACCATTGATTGAAGAAATTGGTGGAAAATCAGATTTGGAGAAAACAGCTGAGGAAGGTAATGCATTTAATTGGGAAATTAATCAAACATTAGAACAACCAAGCACGGACTTGAAAATAAAATACGGGTTTGACAATAGATATGATTCCATCGTTGGTGTTTCACTTTCAAATGGGAATGATATTAATGAATTAGATGATCCTGAACATACAAAAGCTGATGATCGTATCAAGGAACGTTTGTTGAAAGAAAATTTCAAATTTGATCCAGAATACTATGCAGCTGACTACATGACTTCAAAATATTCAGAAGATGACCCTGATATGTATTCAGAGATTAAGGATTTACTTTGTTGGGAAAATCCAATCATGGAAAACCCTGATTTCACAACAGAGGAAAATGAAAGAATGTTACAGTTACCTAAAAAGACATATTTAATTACAAACCAAAAATCGTTATACTATTCAATCTTGTCACTTTTATTCAGTTATTCATATGATGTTCGTGAAAACCAAGGTGATTTAAATATCGAATCTGCATGGGCCATGGGTAAATTAACTCCACAAATCTCATCACTTGATACACAAATTGTGTTTAATGATTCCAAAACACCGTTAATCAAGGCATTGATCATAACCGGTATACGAAGAGCATTATCATATCCATTACATAGACATTATGGATTAGCTATGAAGGCATGGGAAGATGTTGTTAAAATGTTACAGTTGGGTAAGAAACTAGTCATAAAGGCATTATTAACATTGAGGGAACCTTTTAGATTTCATGATGTTTATTATGTTTATGATAAAATATTATTAGAAGATTTGGTTAATTGGTTAATTAATGATCCAAAGGACAATGATTATGTTTTCAAATCATTATCAAAAGAATTGGAAACACATCTAAAAAATTTACAAAAAAATGAGATTGTATTTGAACAATTAGATGATGAAGGAGATGTTGATACTTTTCTTGATATTCAAGAAATCGAAACATTAGCAGAAGCAATGTATTTGGAAAACAAACAAACATAAGAATATAATAATAATAATGCATTGAAATTACACACAGATATACTTATCATTATGCAGAGCTTAGTATATTGTTTGCAAATTTAGGACCTTGTTTTGGGGTATCAGTTGTTTCGTCTTTTGGTTCTTCACTTGAACTATTTGTAGTTGTTGTGGTACTCTTTTTTATATCAGGGGTTGAATTTCTATTTTTATCCCATAAAAAATTTTCAGATCTAGTTCTTGTATGTGTCTTTCTTCTGGGGAATTTGGGGGTATAAGTTTTTCCAGGCTCAACTTCATTTTCCTCCTCCATTATTGATTGATCTTCACCAGATTGTTCCCTCATATCTAGACTTGCTCTTCTTCTTTTCTTTCCTGGGTTTTCATTAATGAATTGTATTGAACTCATGGTACCCATCATTGATTGTTGATTTTGCGGAGTTGATGCATTGCCATTAGTAGAAACTTTGACATTATTATTATTGGTTGGGACTTGTCGTAGTGAAGGTGAATTATTAACTTGAACGATTGGAATTGGAGTTGAGTTCAAACTTGGAGTGTTTGAATGAACAGGCATGGATTGGTTTCTTTTATGGATTGGTGAAGTTGGATAACGACCTCTATCTAATTGGGCCACTGCAGCAGCTCCGATTTTAGCAGGTGATAATGGTCTATGGAAAGTAACAGGGGGTCCAAGGTTGGAAGAACCGGGCTGACCATGGTGTTGTTGAGGATTTGGCTGTGGACCTGATTGGCCTTGGAAATTGGCGTATAGAGTTCTTGTAGGGGATGTTTGAATTGGTGTGTTTCGCTGTGGAATTGATTGTACTAGTAATTGTTGTTGATGTTGTTGAGATATAGCCAGTTTTTGGATCAAATCTTCACTGAGCGTGTCACCAGAGAATATTATGGGTATTAGATAGCTTGGGATTTGTGATTGTAGTGATAAGTTCAGGAGTTCTATTGATTTATTTGTATTTTCCAACTTGTAATATTGCTGTTTGGTAATCTCTTTTTCCCGTTGTAAATTGATCATTTCAATAAGGGATTGTTCACTATGAGGCCATTCCGCAGTGGAACCCAGTCCTAGCAGCTGTGCCAACTGTTCATTGACCTTCATGATCCACAGAAATGAATCTTGGGCTTATAAAAGTTTGCTGTTGTGGATTTCAAATTGTTTTTTTTGGTGTTTATTTGTTTTTCGTTTTTTCTCAAAGACGAATCCGAAATTTAAAATTGCCCAAAACGGAAGTCTAATAGGCTATGTCCCGATGCGGTAATGGTGTTACCTAAAAGGGATCGGAGTGCAACATCAACAATATTCAGTATAAAATGAAGGAAACTCGAGGAAAAGAGTGTTGTAATGGAAAAATTGAGAATGGATTTAGTATATATAAACTCAAGCATTGAATTGAGTGGATTAAACACCATCTCAGCTCAAAAGTTCATGAATTTCCATCATTTTACACCAGAAAAAAATGATATCAAAACCAAGAAAAGAGAATAGTATATCTTGCATACTCATAAGCAACTTCTAGGCTACTTTAAACTATTTTTAACTCCATCCTACCTCCCAAAAATCTCACTATTAAACCACTGCCATTTCTCGCCGTGTCACTTTTAAGCCTATCGCATTTTTTTTGTATGTGGCATCAGAAAAAAAAAGTGAGCTTGAAGCCGTTCTTTTGTTCACCCTCATCGTCAACGTATAAATTGATGGTTTTAAACTTAATCAAGACATCATCTTCTTACCTAACTCTTGGAATCAGAAACAGTATAAGATCTTATTCGAAAATGTCATCAATTCCATCAATTATCCAATCTAAAAGACCTTCAAAGTCCCCAGAAACTGATTATTCAACATTATCAAACTATAAAAATTTTCAAGTTAAAAACTCAAACTTAGATATTGAATTGTTATTTAATGAGCAAAGAATTATTGGTACTGTTAAATATAAACTATTATCATTAACCTCAGCTTCCAAGATCATTCTTGATTCAAGTTTTATTAAGGTTAATTCAATTAAAGTTGATTCAAATGAAGCAACTTTCAAAATTAATCCAAGATCAGAACCATTAGGTTCATCTTTAGAAATTGATCATGAATACTCTTCCAATAGTTCGTTTGAATTAAGTGTTGATTTCGAAACAACTAAACAATCTACTGCATTACAATGGTTGAAAACTGACCCATCAACAAAAGAATCTTCAGATTATGTCTTTACTCAATTAGAACCTATTCATGCACGTTCATTATTCCCATGTTTTGATACACCATCTGTTAAATCCACTTTCAACACAACAATTAAATCATCACATCCAGTTGTGTTTTCCGGTTTACCAATTTCATCAAATGATTCAAACATTTATAAATTTGAACAAAAAATCCCAATCCCATCATACTTAGTTGCAATTGCTTCAGGAAACATCGTTAGTGCTAAAGGTGGACCAAGATCCACTATCTATGCCGAACCATTCCGCTTGAAAGATTCAGTTGATGAATTTTCTGAAGATTTAGAAAAATTTATCAAAATTGCTGAAAAAATTGTTACACCATACATTTGGACAACATATGATATTTTAATCAATCCATCATCATTCCCATATGGAGGGATGGAGAATCCAAACATTACATTTGTTACACCAACTTTAATCTCTTATGATAAATCCCAAGTTGATGTTATTGCTCATGAATTGGCACACAGTTGGAGTGGTAATAATGTTACAAATGCATCATGGGAACATTTTTGGTTGAATGAAGGGTGGACCGTTTATTTGGAGAGAAGAATCACAGGGGAATTACATGGTGAACAATTTAGACAATTTAGTTTTATTCAAGGTTGGAATGATTTAATCAATTCAATTGAAGCATTACCAAAATTTGAATATTCAAGATTAGTTCAAGATTTACAAAAGGGTAAAATTGATCCAGATGATACATTTTCATCAGTTCCATATGAGAAAGGTTCAAATTTCATTTATCATTTAGAGACTAAATTAGGTGGATTAGAAAAATTTGATCCTTTTATTAAATTTTATTTTAACAAATTTCAACAAAAATCAATAGATACTTATCAATTTATTGATTCATTATATGAATTTTATGGCAATGATCAATCCCAAATTGATGTTTTAAATTCAATTGATTGGGAATTATGGTTATATACACCAGGTTTACCACCAAAGGCTGACTTTGATACAACTTTAGTGGATAATGTTTCATCATTAGTTTCAAAATGGATTTCCAAGGCAACTGAGCTTAAAACATTGGAAGAATTTCAAGAATTTTTCCAATCTGAAAAGCAAATTTCCATTTATAACGATTTTTCATCACCACAAAAAATTTTATTTATTGATTCATTAATTGAATCATCACCAACTGATAAATTTTGGTTAGAAAATTCAATTGCATCAGATTCATTAATTTCAATTTATAAAGATTTACAAACTTCCAAAAACACTGAAATTATCTTCCGTTGGTTTAAATTTAAATTGATTAGTGGTAAGACTCAATATTATAAAGATTTATCAAATTGGTTAGGTACAGTTGGAAGAATGAAATATGTTCGTCCAAGTTACAAATTGTTGAATAAAGTTGATCATGAATTAGCTATTGCCACTTTCAAGAAATGGGAAAGTACTTATCATCCAATTGCTGCTAATTTAGTTAAAAAGGATTTAGGATTAGAATAAATTAATGAAAAATTCTATTTATACGTCTGTCATTTCTTATCGGTCCTGTAGTGGCCCTTGTTCAAAAAAAATGACACGAATTCGATTTTTTTTTTTCGTGAAATTTCGTTGATTTTGAATCTCAAAACAAAACAAAACAAATCAACAAGATCCAAACAATAGAAATAAAAAGCATCAGCATAATCAAGTAGAAGTTACAAAAAATGAGTTTTGCCCAATTATCAAACATTCCTGTATGTATTAAACCAACAGTTTATCGTTTTAATGATACTAATTATGTCTAGTTTTCACAATTTACTGAAAGATTCAGTCTTGATAGATTAAGAGTGAGTATATGAATTCAAATCATCTTTAATCGTTATACTAATAAATTATTGTTAGACCGACGCAGGTTCTTTACAAAACAAATTCTCCAATATCAGACCACCACAAGAATTCTTTGACATCAAGAGATTATCAAAACCTACAAATTTTGGAGATTTACAATCAAGAATCTCATATAATTTGAAATATTATCAAACTAATTATGCCATCATTGTTTCAATGTTGAGTATTTATTCATTATTAACAAATCTTTTGTTATTATTTGTTATTGTTTTCGTTGGTTTAGGTGTTTTGGGTATAAGTAAATTACAAGGTTCAGATTTAGAAATTGGACCATTAAAATTAACAAATTCTCAATTATACACTGGGTTATTAGTTGTTGCATTGCCTTTAGGGTTCTTGGCAAGTCCAATTTCCACTGTTTTATGGTTGATTGGAGCTTCATCAGTTAGTGTTTTGTCTCATGCTTCATTTTTAGAAAAACCAATTGAAACAGCTTTTGAAGAAGAGACTGTTTGAGAGGAATATTGAATAAAAACAAGACACAAATTCTATAATATGATATAAAGACTACAATGGATATTGAATATAATTAAATGAAAGTGTAGTATGTAATAAAGAACAGTCACTAATAATACAAAAACTTAACAAATCATGCTTTTTATACAGAACCAAAACATCAAACTGTCACACCGTCTCTAATAACCACCATCATCACCACAACAATCACCACACAACATGTTCAAGATACAAGCACAACACAAGATTTTACAACAAGTCCCACAACACCCACTCTCTTTCTTTTCTGGTTGTTGTTGGTAATAAACCGGTTGAGGTTGTTGTTGGTAGTACCCTTGTTGAGGAGGGCCTTGTTGGTAGTAACCACCTTGTTGAGGTTGACCATAACCTTGTTGTTGTTGCTTTGATTTAATTGTTAGTACATTCCATTTCAATGCTTACAGCTGTCAAGCTCTGTTTAAACGGTTTCAAAAGGATTCAAAAAAGGGTATCAACACACCTTTATTGATCTCCTGACCCCAATGACTTCCATAATACTCACTTGACCGTAATAACCACTCATTTTATCAATAAATCAATCACTTAACCTTTGGAATAATCAGAAAACCATCCTTCTAAAACTTTTTCAGCCTCTTTAATGTTTTTCCAGCCCAATCTGAAACTGGTTCAGGGGACACATTAACATATTCTTATGTAAGCACTGAGCAAGCAATTGAAACGGATTTATATAAAGACTGGGATTTCATTGATTATAACCATTTTTATACTTTTTAATTCAATATATTACTAGATAATGGGCTTCAATTACTCTCCTCCAGACCATCCTCAACAACCAGGGCCTTTTCCTGAACAACACGGGTACGCTGACATCAAATTCGATACCCATAAATACAATGGGAAACCATCCCCTTTGAATCCAACAACTCATCATACTGCTGGTAGTTTTGAAAAGTTCTCAAAGAATGAAAATACAAAGAAGGCTGGTAATTTTGTATTGGGCCAATTGAAAGGGTTCTTATTAAGACAATGTACTTGAAATTTGGTTTGTTTATTATGATTAGAATGTAACATGTATTATGATGATATTAGATATTTTGTAGGAGTATCTACGACGGTATCATTGGAAATAGATGTGTATTAAACAGTTGGAAACCTGCTTTGTAACAAACAGAGAATTAAAACCAACTATTCAAAATCACTAATACCATGCTCTTTCAGCACCAAGTGGAAATGGTCAGTTTCTTTGTAGCATATCTGTAATAATCATGTATATTAATTCCCTTGGAATCTATATCATAATCACTGAATAAGATAGCCACAACAAACAACACATATTCCAAAACGTTTGAGATATTTCAAACCATATCGTGAAAGTGAATGGAATACTCAGTAACGGACAATGCGTACATCCGTTTTACTAATGGTTTCGAAATATCTTACCAACACATCCCAAGCCATGTGACCTTTGACCCCGTGTTTCTGGATGGTAGACAAGCTCAACATAGTTGAGTACAGCCAAACTTACCGGGAGAGGTTACTTAATCCAGAGAATGGAAGGACAGAAGTTAATACTGGCTTCAAAAAAAATTTTAAAAACTTCAACAACCCATTCGCGAAACCTTCAACTTTTTCAATCATGGCATTTAAAGGTCTTGTATTGAATAAGTACTAGCAGTGAAGTAACTTTAGTTGTCATATGTTTCATATTCTCTTTTAACTACTTTGTATTGTGTATGTTCATAAATCAATTGAACAAAATTCTTTTAACAAACAAGGAATCATTCCACCAACATCCTCCACTCTATATCAGTTCAGTGAATGATTTGAAGACTACAAGTTAATTATTGACATATCGAAATCAATTGAATATTGTATTCCACTAATTATAATCCTGTTTTGGTAACAAACAGAGAGCTAAATAATTCTGAATATCAATCTAGTTCAAATCAATCTGGTAAAACCTTCATTCAGTGTATTTTTTTTATTCAACTGAAATGTAAAGTATACCATTGATCTGAGTCACTGTAGCCCGCTAATGGAGAAAACAATATCATGCACAATTTCATATTAGGCTGCATGTTGATCATCGGAAAAAAAAACACTAGTATCTTATTCTCCAATTTAAAACTAAATCATTCTGCGCAAGTCCTCAATATAAAGAGCATGGTAAATGGATAATTTTGAAAGTGCAACTTTTCGGCCTGACATTGAACAGAATACAAACAAGGCAAAAGGATAATTTCCCTGTGTTCGTAGCTTTTGTCATACATGCGGAATAACACATAAAAAACCAAGCATATCTTCAATCAATAGTAATGGAAGAAGTATGATTTTTATGAGCAATTGAACTTTTTCAAAAACAAATCATTGGGAATTCGCGATGATGAGTCAGCCAGATAGCTATGCTTATGGCTGATTGGTTAGTTAGTGAAGAAGATGAAGCTGGTTCTTGATCAATCTGCTGTGATGATACTTTAATGGTATAGAAATCATTATATGATTAGATTGTACGTGTAGCAAGATCTCTAGATCTCATCTACAAGAAATCAAAGCAAAATATGTATATTCTTCCAAATGGGAATCCTGTTTGACTTACAAGCAGAGAATTACCCACTGTTAAATAAAGTTGAAAGTAAATGAAACCACCCTCCACGACAATCAGGGGTCATGGAAAGGTAGTTCCAATTGAATTAATTATACCAGGGCAGAAGAAAGCAATAGATGTGGTAATTGGTCAGAATGGAGATTCCTCCAGAAAAACAAAACAAATTAATAGATGAACAAACTGTCATGCCTTTCACAAAAAAAATACCGAATGAGATAGTTTGTCTCTCTGAATTAACCAAGTTTATCAAGTTTTCATGTTTCTTCACTCGATACTACTGATACTGCTTGATACTGCTTAATGCAGATTGCTTGATGCTATCAATGCTCATAAATCAGCAATCAAGAGCCAGACTAATAGCATAAAAAACACCTTATCAAATTAAAAGACAATAAAACATACAAGAAACTAGGTAACCAGATGAATCAAGCCATCAAAATCCCTATTGAGGAATAACTAATGTCTTTTTAACAAGGAGAGAAAGAGAATTGTCGAGGAAAAAAAACCATTAAAAATGCAATTCGCGAATGTTGTAATTGGATCAATTCAAGAGCTTTGATCAACTTCACAACTTGTTAACTACAGAAATTGTAGAGAATGGAAAATGTATGGCATTTATTCAAATGATTGGAATCCAGTAGTATTTCAACAGGAAATTAACCAACCATTGAAAAAACCCAATCAAAGTGTATATTGAAGGCAATAGGAATGACACGGATCTATTAAACAATAATAATCAAGATCACAAATTTCATAACCATTAACTCCCATCACTACACTCTTGACCACTAAATCCTTGATGTGAGGTTAGCCAGCTGTATATGGCAATGAGATGATTTAATACTCACCTTAAACATGGTAGCGCCGCTGGTTCGTTCTTCGTGATAATAACCAGCTATATATTAGGCAAAGCCAATATCAACGAGTAACAAACCTCTTTTAGTTCAAAAGTATATGCTTAAGGATGTTGTGAGACCTCGCGTGGATTTCAATATATTAGGTTAATAAATTGATGAACATTGAACAGGAGAAAACAAAATGAACAAAAATTCAGTTTTTTAAATTGCTCAGACGAATTCGCGAATTGAGATGGTGATGGGATTTGGGATGTCGGGTATAATCGGTGATTGTATTATATCAACTCTGAAGAAATTTGGAAGAAAAGTTACTCTATTTGCTTCATTACAATGCCAGGAGGGTGAGCTTCTCTAGATTTTCCACAGGATAAGTGCCACGCTGGGTGTATCACAGTTATCCTAAGTCGATCAGTATACTTGAAGGAATAAGTGATCTAGTCATGATCAATCAAATCACTTCAATCAAATCACTCTCCGATTGATAATATCAGGAGAATTAGTTGGATTGACTCATCATGATGAATTTTCAAGAAATTATGTTGGGAAGCTTCTGCCCTAAAAACAGCTGAGTTAATAATGCATATGATCATTTCAATCAAACAATTTGATGGCCAACTAGTACCTTATGGTGATCCAAAAGAAGCAGCATTGATATTTATAGTACGCCTATAAATATAGTGATTAGACGACGTCCAACTTTATTAAGCACTCCAGATATTTTTTTTAAATCACCACTTTCACGCCCCTACAAATGAATTGATCATTGATGATGTAAAAAATGTATCAATCAAACTGGATTGGAATCCTGTTAAAATGACAAACAGAGAATTAACCAACCAGTAGATCTCATATATGTATATATAAAATATATCAATATTAATGCAAACAAACAAAAGGTAGTCTTGTCATATGAAAATCACATTGAAGCCACCAATATTACTTGCAGCTGAACAAATAACCAAAAAAGAACTATATTACATCTGGACACATTAAATTACCCAAACATGTCATCATTAGCAGCATGTCTAATGCCCCACTAAAAAATCACGTCATAGATTTATATTAAAATGACGAAAAACCATTATGAAACTCGAAACCAATATGGAAGTCGAAACTATTGTGAAAGTCGAAACAAGGACAATATGTTTATATGCAAATGGAAGAAAGTTGAAACGCGTCCAAAAAAATCTTTTCAGGCAATTTCGCGAATTCTTCAAATCTACTTTCCCAAACATCTTTGAGCTCATCAAACTAAGAAGTTTTATTAATTAATAATTCTCTGTCTTGATTGATCAACTCATTGAATATTTTGCATGATCTTGGCTTCTCGATGGTTTGTACACCTTGTTTTCATCTTTTGTTGTAACAATAAATTGATAAAATTGACCTTGAACGTATCAAAATGATTATTGATTAGCTACCTTGATCAAGTGCTCATTGGAAATCTCACATTGTAGTTCTTCCAATTGATCAATCAACCAGTTAAGGGTTATTTCAGCTGACCAATTTATATTATACTTGCAAGAATGAATGTTTGTTAAAGAATTGAGCTCTCTACAAGTTGTATATTGTGGAAAACGTTGTACATTTCAAATAATTGGTATCCTGTTCATTTTTCAAAACAGAGCATTTAACCCCAAATGAAATGATCAATTATCATATTAAGGAGATGGTGAGGAATCAGGATAATCCACTTAGGCGCTATTCCTTGACAACTCCCAATGATGATGTTTGGACATCGTATTTCATGTCAAAAGATAAACTGTTCTCAGCTGTATTCTGCAAAAACACATTCCTGAGTGATAATCAAACAGGACATAAACCTGGCCACATTATAATTTGAAAATTATATCAAGTTATTCGATGAAGCACCGATAGCTGGAAAACCTAAGTCAAATAGAGGTGTCTTGATAAGAGTAATTCATAGAAAGCATGAAATAACACAAAAAAACCCATAATATGTGAATTGCTTAACTAAAGGGTTAAACCCGAACAAAGGAACATTCAAAATAATACCTTAGGGTAGTTAGTAATCATTGATATATCTGAAAGAAGAAAGGCCAACGAACAAAAAAAAACCTCTGTATTTTTGAAATAAAGTAAGAAGTCTCGAACGAAAATTCAGTTTGAATTTTTAACCTTTTTGAATTGGTGTTCGCGAATCAATGTACAGAGCTAAACACGATTGGACGTAGAATTAAAGAGGTGGAGTACGACGTCGAAGAGTTGACTTGTAGTATTGTCGTGGCACTTATCTCCATGATAATGATTGGATCTTGAGATATATCTGTTTTCTGTTTTGGTAGCTGTGAGAATTGCGTGAGATCAAGATATTAATGAACAATGTATTTATAGTCTCTACAATTACTTTAAATGAAACATAAAATCAGTGCATGTATTCCAACTATTGACATCCTGCTTTGCTAAAACAGAGAATGTAACAATGTTAGGTACGGTGAAGGTCATTAGTGGTATTGTGTCATGGACTTTGTATATAAATTTGGACAACCTTAAGAAGAAAGACATCCAATTATAAAACACCATATAATCAACACACCTCATAACTAATAGTTTATTCAACTCAGAGAATATAGAGATCTTTCTGCACAATAACAACAAGGCTCTCTGGGTCGATGGCTCATTATAATATGGGCTCATCTAAGTCCAGGATCAGCTTTTTTTCAAACTGGAGATTCTATACTAATCAAAGACAATTCTAAAATTTTTAAACTTATATGTTTCAGCCGAGATCATTTTAAACGCTTACTAAATAGGACCCTGCCTAGGAGATGGATAAAAACACGGGAGAACTGTTAACACTGTTGATGATACTTTTGAATCCTCATTATCGTCAAAAACATTGAGAAAATTTTTAAAATGTTCCCATGGTCACAGTGCTTCATAACCGTGGACAAGTGAACAATGTGCGCCCAGCGCCTGTTAGAGCCCTTTTTTTTATTTTTTTTGCCATACAAAAAAAATGAAATCGGTAGAGCCAGACAAAGGTGTATTTCAGTTGATTCGATTTTTTTTCAGTATGGGAAAAATGAAAAGTGAAAAAAAAATCGCGTTACGCGTAGTACTATAGACAAACGATGTGGTGGGAAAAGCCTTATAAATCAACACCACGCACACTAATTATTAAGTAAGACATGACTCATGATTCTTGATGTGCTAAAGTTTGTTTTGTTCACTTGGGAAATGTCACTGGATGAGAGAATCGTATTCTTTTTGATTGATATACAGAGGTCCTTTTCACAACACCAGAATAAGCATCAACTTGAACTACTGATAGGCCTTGCTACGTTGCTTCTGCCGTTCTTAACCCAAGCATAGACTTCTCTTTGATTCAATTATACACTCTTCGTACTATTTTGGAATGCCACTGCTGTATAGCTAGGCAATAGGGGTGTCATCTTTGTTCATTGCTCAAGCTCAATATTCAAGGGTTCAACCAAATAGATCTCAATTATTGATTGATTTGCCCTGTTTATTTAGCTTACAGGCTGTTAGCCATAAGCATTAGACCCCTTTTGATGATATGGTGCATTGATAGTCTTGATTGCAAGTGATACATTAGTGAAAACTCTTGTTTGATAGGTCAATATAGCTGAAACTGATTCTGATACCTTGAATTGGATGGATGAATTGATTGCACTTTGAATTTAGAATTACTGATGGCCCTTGTTGTTATTTCTGGAGCTGTTATTTAATCTGCTGCTGTTATTAGATCCATAATGGCTATATTGTTGTTACTGCCATTTGATCAGAATCTACACAAATTCAATTGAAATGAACTGTGGATTTTGGAGTGGTTAGTATATTGGATATCTTGAAGGTTCTAGAAGTGTTATACTCACCATTCATTATCTGACTATTTGATGAGCTTCTGCAAACTTTGCCCAGTTGATGGTATTTTGTTTCATGAAATAGTGAACATAATCATTATTGTTTATTTGCTCAAGGTTAGTCAAATCTTCTTTAACATTGAATTTACTGAAATCATTTTTAACCACTAGTTGCCCACAAAGACCAAGAACATCAGTTAGATTAACCAGCTCAACCTTATTCAAATCTGTATTGGCAACATCCTTTAACTTTTTACAAAATGAAAGATGAAATCTATCATGTTTTCTTTCTTCCAAGTTGTCAATTACCAGGAACCTACCCACTGCGATGTTTATACTTTCAGGTAATTCTCTGTTGAGGTTTCTTCTTTGGTTAATTGGCACCATTCTGAATTCTATTATTTCTAATAGAACACCCACTTTAATGGAGTCTATATTACAACCACCATGAGCTGACTGTGTTGTATCCTGGAGATAATTATTCAGTGAATTTTTTAATAAACAAATTGAGTTGTTTTTTGGGCATAGTAGGGGGTTGAACTTTGATGGTGTTATTTCTATTTTATTTGACTCAGCATTCAATGGATACCTTGATACTGGGCTTATACTTTCACTATAGTGTAAGAATATATTTGAGTTTAGTTTGAAGTTTTTCACAAATGTGTAGCCATCATCAGACACCTTATAGTTTTCATATTTTTTATCTGTGTACGCTTTTAAAGTTGTTCTGAGCTGTCTTTCAATAGGTATCTTTCTCAAATAATCATAATTTGTCTTGACCTTTTGTGACTCTTTGATTGTAATTTGATTTATATTACTTTTTGAGGTTAATTCAATAGTACAATCATCATCATCGGTTCTTCTTTTTTCAAGTTGAGCTAGTTTATCTTTAAATGATTGATCATTTTTCAAATTAATGGTCTCACATGCTATTGCCTTTATTTTGTAAATGTCTAATATTTCTTCAAACGTTTGTACCGGTTCAAGTTTGCTTAAGTTGACATCTTGTTGAAGGATGATACTCATAATTTCCATTATATTATATAAAAAAACTGCCTTGTTTGATATATTGGTCAGTGTTTTGAACGTGGCGTTTGCAGATGCCTTCTTGATCACACCCATCAACTGCTCAAGGTCGAAAGAGTTGTAATTGTGAATTGGGCCTTTGAATTTTATCAGTTCAGTAACATGGCAAAGTGTGTGTAAATATATTGATGTCATTCTTTCAAGCTCAATTTGCTTTGAACCTCTCAAGCCGTACTTGGAGTTTATATTATCCTGGAGTTCTTGCCAATACTCTTGACTTCTGTTGCATAAATCACCTTCATATTTTGTTATAAATTCCTTTATGAGTGTATCAAAATAAGATAGATCTGATTTTAAAACGTGATAGGATGAGATGACATGGATTATCAAAAAATTTAAATCAAAAATTCTTTTAAAATCACCAGGCAGTTGTATTTCAGCTTGATCTCCCGCTCTAGTGTCATTATTAATCATTATATTTAGTAATACCACCAAACTCATCTCTTGCTCAGCTTTACAATGTGTTGTATGATCCAATCTTGATTTATCATCTGATTTATTAAAACTGGTGGGAATTTCACCAAACTCATTTGGGTAATTAATAATATTGAGGTGAACAAAACCTCCATAAATATGGCACAATCTCTTTCTCAGCTTTTTGCAGATATTTTCAACATAATGCATACTATCAAACATTAACGAATAGCCTCCTTGTAAACCAAATGCATAGTCATGGCAAAACAAAGAGCTTATGTTCGAGAACCCTAGAATCTTTTCAGCATCTGGAACTGAGTTCAATAATTTTGCAGCAGCTTCATAAAACTTTTCATCTTTTCTTTGTAAATTATAGAACCCTCTAGTAACAACAGAGCCACCATTTGACTTTAAAGTACCTCTTTTATTAACAAACTTTTTGAACTCAGTGATATCATCTAATATGACTGTAGACCTTTCTTCTAACTCTGAGTTCAAATCTAGATCAATGTCACCCAAGTTTTTATCTATGGTATCCTTCATTATAACACAGTGTGGACATGGAGCAAGTGACGTAGGCCCATTATTATTAGCCATTCTTGAAACGGCAATGAAATCTCCACACATAGATACAATAGAAATGTGAATTTTAACAATTTTACCGACAAAAGCATCAAAAACAAGTATGCCATCAGAAGAAATTCTGGCAAAATCATCAAGTATAACTCTGAACATCAAGTCTGTCAGAAACACCTTTTCATGATTCTGTTCTCCTAGATTTTGCAGATTGAAGACTTCTCTTTTCTTGAACTCTGGGGATACCATTAGACGGATTGTTCGACTAAAGACACCAAGCTCTTCAATTCTAAGACAAAATGGAACAACAGATAACTTATCTTTAACAGCAACGCCATCACATGAGATATGTGCGGTTAATCTTATTGTATCAGGCTCAAAGTATTTTGAGTTTGTTGATTTGTATCCTTCATGAGTGTGGTGAGTTTTGACATTGGCAGTTTTCAATTGTTGAGCCAGCTCTGAATTGCTGAAAGTATGATATTGTGAATCATCAGCTTCATCTTGAAAATAAAGATCATAATTTTTGTGGATCTCAGCAGCTATCTGCTGCTGACCCATAAGAGCTTGAATGAGTAGCTTCGGGGTAAGATAATCAAACGCCAAAGTATCACCTAGTTTGTTGCTTCTGGGGTTTGCGACTTCACATGTTGGGCAAATCCAATAATCAGTTGGATTTCCATGTAACGATCCTGATTGGGGAGCATTTTGAGCACAAAATGCTTCATTATCTATCCCCGAAGCACAATAGTTTATCCCATGTTTGCACTTGGTACAGACCAATATCTTACTAGTTTCACCAGTCCAATCAAGAAGATCTCGGAACTGGTTGATAAACCTATCTGTGGGTTTTCTATTTTTTAAAAATAGAGCACTAGCAATGTGTTTGGTTTCTTTAAGAGTCAATCTGATCTTATCAGCATCATCATCATCATCATCATCATCTTCTTCTTCTTCTTGAACACCAGGTTCTGTTGATGGATCTAAGTCACCAGAATCATCATTACTCCCACCAATATCACTAGCACTAGTGGTATATTCATTAACAAAACCCATATCTGTATGGTTGATGGGTACATTGGTCAAATTCTCCCCCATGATACCACATTTCTCAAATTTGTCTTTATTAAGCCTTTCCAGTTCATCCATTTTCATTTTCATCCTCTTCTTAACTCTGATGTTTGAAAAGTAATTTTTGCTAGCTTTTCTTTTACTCGAGGTTCTGAAGCTGGGATAGTTTGTGGTGAGACTTAAATCACAGAGATCATTAATGTATTCATCTGTTTTCTCTTTAGTGATTTTGGTTTTGGTGTATGTGTTGAAAGCTTTTAGAATTGGAATTGTAAATTTGTTTGTAACAATCTCTTTAGTGAAGTATTTCATAAATCTAAAAATTCTAAAGCTTGAAATTTGATTGAATTTATCATTTGATCCTTCATCCCCGTGATTGATATCTTGCACTCGTTCGGTGTCTTCACCCAAATCAAAATCATTTTCATCATCATGCTCAAATCTGGCAAACAGAGTACTCAAACGAGCTTCTCTTTCATCCTCAGTTTCATTGACTGGTGGCTGTGGTTGTTGAGACTCAGATTCGTTAATACCGCGAGCAATTGCATGGTCATTGTCATTACCAGCATCATTTTTATCACGGTTCTCGTTGTTAACATTATTGAGATTATCTGCTTCCTGACCATCTGATACAATACTTTCATCAGAGTAAACCAGTAATTGGTTATCATTAACACACGATATGCTGATCACCCTAGCTCCATTTATGTATGAAACATCAAAAAATTCTGAATGATACTTGTACGTATTGGCAATTATAAGGTCAATTTCCTTATCAATAATGCATATTTTTCCATCTGATCCACCAATTCCATCGTCTATTCTTCTGCAATTATGACCACCAATTAACCTATGTGTTATCATTAAATTTCTTGGGAAACTTTCTAGATTTTCTTTTTCCAAAATTTTGAAAATAGCAGTATGAATTGTATCAATGAAATGTAAGTTATTTCCAATCTTTAGTGGATAGCTGGTACAGAGTTCATTCCTTGGAATTGAAACGTTAGCATCAGGCTTTGGATGTTGCCAAATAACTGCCGAAGCACAAAGGTGAGATGATTTTCTTTTGGTCAATGAGCTGATATAATTCTCATACGCTTCTTGGTTTTCAAACAGTGTTTTATCAAAGCAGTCTTTGTAGCTCTCAGTCCCCACAACTAGATTGGGTTTTATGATACAAGATTGAACATCTGAGAAGGTTGTAGCTTCAAAAAAATTATATGCACAGTTATCTTGGACGTTAAGGTACCTTCTGTTCACCAAATTTTTCACTTTTGACAAATAAAAAGAAGCTTCAGCTTTTTGTGTTGACTCAATGTAGTCGTCCCTAATAATTTTTCTCTTTATCATTGACTGGATAACACTGTTTCTTATTGCTTTATATTCTTTCTGTATGAAAAGTTCAATCACAAGCTTGGAGTTTGGATGAACAAAAGGTTTTTTACCTAAATCTGTTGAAACAAGATAGAAATATTGAGGCATGTTATCTATGATTAGATTTATAATTGAGCGTATCTCGCTATCTGTCAAAATGTCTCTAATCATCATTGATTCCATATTGATACCTCTCAATAGAACGACCGAGAGCACAATGTTCTTTATAAATTTCTATTTGGATATGTTAGTTCAAATAACTTCACTTCAAGATGCCCTAGATGAGATAATATCAAATCCACATATGTTTACTTACATTAAATAATTTGAAGTTAATTGAATAGGCTTTATCAGCACTTTCTAGCGTCAACTTAGAAACTTCTTCTGGATCTTCAAGATCTGATCTAAAAAATGGGAGATTTAAAAGCAGCTTCAGATCACGGTGGGAAGGAGACACAACTCCTATAGCGCTGTAAACATTTAAACGGGTTGAAAAAGTGTTGGTAAAGCAGCACTCAAGATCTTCATCAGTTGAATCAGCACTTGTTGATTTATCAATTCCAAGCTCATGTGAAAGACTTGCGCCAAAACTTTGCTTTATTGCTACCTCTGTTGCTGTTTCTTCCTCTGGCTCAGCGTCCGAGATATCACTTGCTTCGAGTTCTGCAAGTGTCATATTGTTTCTAAGGTGTTTGAAGGAAAGACAGTTGGTAATTAGGGAGTGTTTGAATGTTTGTTTACATTTTTTTTTCCAATGAAAATTCTTGTTTACTGTCAGGTATTACATAACCAGAATAACCAATTATGCACAATTCATCAATACTCAACATTTCACATCAACTATAAGAAGAATCAAGAATCCACTAATTGTAACATTATATGTATATTAATAGAACATCGGAATTACCTTATATACACACAGTAGAGGATATTCTGTCAGGTTAAAACCACGAATAAAATAAAACAAGTGATCATTAAATCAACATCAACTAGAAACAATGGCTGTCACAAGAAACTCCAATAGAAGAAACACCTCTTCAACCTCTTCAACCTCTTCAACCTCTTCAACAACTAGAGTAACCAAAACCAGAAAACCAGCCAGAAAAACCAAGGCTAATCCTCGTGTTACAGCAATTGAAAACAATATTTCTGCATCACATGCTGCATCAACATCTGAAAACACAC